CAACCCTTGGGAGGCTGAGGCAGCAGGATTGCTATAAACCTGAGGCCAGCCTGGACTATATATAATGAATTCAAGGTCAGCATGCATGCCATAGCAAACCCAAGCTCAATCAGTCAACCAACAAATCAAGCTTTAATTTTAGAATGGTATTGTTCTGATTACAAGGTTACAAAAATAATTCATCAAGCCTATTTCTCAGTTTTGCCATCAAATTTAGCAAAACAAAATTGTGTTCTCACTCCAAATACATGCTGCATTCTCCACCCTACTCCCTGCCTTGGGAGAATCACTTGTATCACATAGACTGTATCCACTGGTCTCCATAAACCTTTAAAATCCAGCCCTGGCTTCTGGCTTTGTTAACCTCATGGAAGATGTGGAGAAATGAAAATATGTTAGAACCACACTGGGTAACAAAGGTTGAGGTGCATCTTTCTACCAGAGGAGAGAGTTGCCATCAAAAACCTTTCATATGGCTCTCTCCGCAGCTTCTATTAATGTTCTCTCCCTTACTTGATTTTCAGCTCACACACATTTCATTTTATTTAAACTCTCCTCACATTACCTAATTTGAGTGCATTATCTGATTCCAGCCAAGAGTATAACTGCCCAGACTTTCAGGAATGCACATATCATAAAACAGTACAGAAGTTCTTTAAAAAATTAAAGCAACATTCCTTTTATGCGTCACCAGTATATAATCATTCTAATAGGCCATGTGAGCCTAGCAGGTGTGTGCAGTTCAAAAACTACTGGTTTAGAGCCAGACATGGTGGCAAGGCAGCATTCAGGAGGCTAAGGCAGGAGAAGCACCGCCAAGTTCAAGGCCAGCCCTGAACTACATAGCGAAGTTCTGTCTCCAAAAAGAACCCCTATGATTTAAATAATTAAATGCAGACATATTTCCTGTGGCTACGATTTTACATAATAATATGTATATTGGTTTACACAAATAGACCACTCTTGACTCCTACTGAGATTTGTTCACAGCCTGGTTTTAAATTGTACTTGGTGTAAGTCAAGTATGTAACATTCCTTATCCAAACATAACAACTAAAAATGTGCCTTAAGTGACCAAGTGAGCTATATACATGTTCCTGTTTACTAAAGACAGTGTTACTGTTTCAACATTTATAGGAGTATTCCTAAGATAGGAGAAAACATTATTAAGAAATAATACCACCCGCCAGGCATGGTGGCCTGCCTGTAATTCCAGCACTCGGAAAGCTGAGGTAGGAGGTTCAGTGCTAGCCTGAGACCAGTCTGGGCTACAAAGTGAGCATAAGGCCAGCCTGAACTGCATAGCAAGATCCTATCTCAAAAAGGCCAAAAAGGAAAGAAAAAAAAAAGAAAGAAAAGGAAATAATAGCATGGCCATCTCATTAAGTTATATCCACAATCAGATGAACAAGGAGCGTACCTAAAATGCACAAGGTGTTGGTAGTTATACGACAATAAGAGTTGGCTGTGTCTTCTCCAAAATACTACTACAGTGCTTCAGATTCAGCATTTTTCAGATTTTAAAGTATTTCCATAGGCTTTACAAGATGAGCACTCCAATCCAAAAATCTGAAATCTGAAATTGAAAATTCTCCAAAGTCTGATTCTTTTTATTCTTTTCCAGTACTCAGGATTGACACAGGTCCTTCACACTGAACTACATCTCCAGACCCTTTTCTTTATTTTCTGAAATAGGGTCTCATTAAGTTGCTAGCTCTCAAGGGTGGGCTCAAACTTTCAATCTTCCTGGTTCAGCCTCCCAGAATGCCAGAAGGATGCACCACCATGCCCAGGTCAAAGTCCAAAACTTTTGAGCACCATTTCAGTGTTCAAAAACCTTCAAGTTAAGGATGCTCCATTTGTACTAAAGCAAGCCACGACTCATCCACATCAATGGATTCCTAATACAATGACTCACTTCATTAAAACCTCTGCCTATGTGGCAGCTCTCAAATAAATATTATAACAAGGATGTACAAGCCTACTGTTGGAGCAGTAGAAACAGCCACAAAGCCATGGCAGAGAGCTTAGAAGAAAAGCCAACATACCATAAAATGCCTTAAAAATACCAAAAGAAAGGACAAGACTTGGTGTTTGAATTTCACGCCATAGAACCAAAGGAAAAGCCCTAATCTTTCAGCAGCAAAAACTGGTAGAATGTTGAGTTTTATTTTGACGCCTGCAAAGTAATACTGATCTCAACTGTGATTCCCTGGAGTCTTATAAACACAACAGGATTTAAAAAAAAAAAAAATCAATCAAAATTGAAATTGCCGGGCTGGGGAGATGGCTTAGTGGAATAAGTGCTTCCCTGGCAAGTGCAAAGGCCTGAGTTCAATCCCCGGTTCGAGAAAAAAATTGAAATTGCTGGGTGCAGTGGCATATACCTGTCATCCCAAGATGCTTAGGAGGATGGGACAGGAGAATTCCAAATTTGAGGCCAACCTGTGCATCTTTTCAAGACCCATTTTAAAAAGGGTTGGGTGTACAGTTCAGTGATACAGTGCTTGACCAGTATGCATAAATCTGGGTTCAAACCCAAACAATGAAGAGAAAGAAAGGAGAAAAAGAGGAAGAAAGGAATGGAGGAAGGGAGGGAGGAAAGAAGAAAGGGAAGGAAAAAGGGGAGGAAAAAAAGGAGAACAGCAGAGCAAGAGAAGGGGAGGGGAGGAAAGGGATGGGATCATGTACAAGGACTCTGGGACATTTCAGGACAAAAAGTCACTTAACTATTATCCCAAGCAATCTCCTACTTCTATGTAATATAACCATAACTTTATACAAAAGTTAAACCATGTTTCAGTACCACTTCCAAGACCACTGCACTGCTTAACAAACTATAGCTTTAGGGCAGTGATGGAGAACCTTTTAGAGCTTTCAATGATAACAATCTGTCCACTGCAGTACCCATGCCATAGGCTCACCACCACTGCTTTAGGATATTAATGCTCTAGTATGTATTTATGGATATTTATTTACTTATGCTGAAGCGTAATGCTAGGACCTATGCCTGTTAGGCAAGTCCTCTATCCTAAAGCACTTTTCCCAATACAAGAGAACATTTTTGGTAGTTGTAACAAAATGAGAAAAATTTTAATACAGTGAATTAACTGTGTTCTATTTTTTTTTAATTTATTTTTTTGGGTAGAACCAGGGATTGAACTCAGCCCCTTGCACTTGCCAGGGAAGCACTTATTCCACTGAGCCATCTCCCCAGCCCCATATTGTGTTCTATTTAATAAACCATCCTTAAATTTAGAATTAAATCCTCGCTGTTATTGAATTATTACAATTAGTTTGCTTTTCTCAAGATAAATGTATGGTGATAACTGACAAGTCATTTACACTCTTTTTAATCAGTCCTTGCTTAGCAAAACAATTTTTTTTTATTTCTCTGATTCTTAAAATCCAAACATGAGAATACCAACAGAAATGTCATTTGAATGACTTCTGTCATCATTTACATTTATTATTCATTCATTCATTTTATTTATTCAATTCATTGATTTGTTCATTTGGGGACAGGTTCTTGCTGTTTCCCAGGCTGTCCTGGAACTTGATAGCCTCCTGCCTCAGCCTCGTGAGCAGCTGAGATTAATGCACCACTGGGCCCAGCTTCACTTCCACAGTTATTGGGCAAAGCCTCGCAGTTGCTCAAGCCTAAATACTTTTCAGATGTCGTGCGCTCTGCTGAGTTCCAGAGCAGATGGCCTTCGTTCTTAGACTCGAACACTCATAATCTTCAAGTGTTATTTGTTCTAGTTTCTGGTCAACTATAACTCTATTACTGACTTTGGAATGTCTTTCTATTACTCGCTATTTGCTGCAACACTTCGCATTCATTATAATACAGTGGACAGGGCCTCTTCAGCAGGCCTTCTGCTATTAATCATGCACAATTATCTCTCTCTGAATTCCTACTACACATCATTTCATAACTGTTTTCACATATGCTGCGCTTTTTCTCTTCAGTACATCTTACATCCTTGGAGAAAGCAACTGTGTTATCACTGTTTTATAGCCTTAGCTCACATCTGGCACAGTATTTGGCACAGTTCTGGTGAGTGTGGACAGCTGACTTACTAAAAACAGAAGACACACCCAGATGTGGATGACAACCACTAATAGTCTTCAAGCCTTGGTGACATAAAAAAGAGAAGAAGGAAGTCTTGCTTCCTGCATCGTTGGAGGAGCACCGGTCTGCAGCATCAACTGTGGATATCCATCTCCAAGCTTCTAGCGCCAACTCTTCAGTCTTCCAACACAGATGCTTCTGCTTCCTGATACAGACTCGCTCAAGCCTCTGCAGTGGGTTCCAGGCCTTCAGTCTTTGGCTGGGTCCCGGCACACCTGCACACAGGTGGCCCTTGTGACATCCTTCTACCTGACTCTCTGTGATGCTGGGCATGGTGGCACAGGCCTATAATCCCAGTAACCAAGAGCCTGAGATGGGAGGATCACAGTGAGTTCAAGGCCAGCCTGAGCTACACAGCAAGTTCCAGACCAGCCTGAACTACATGGCAAGACCTTGTCTCAAAAAAAATAAACAAAAAAAGATTCCATGATCTAACCATGTTAAATCATTCAACATTCTTCCCCTGGCCATACACAATGGCACATTCCTATAATCCCAGCTGCTAGGGAAGTTGAGGCAGAACGATGACAAGTTTATGGAGAGCCGGAGCTATTTAGTTAAGACCATTCAAAAAGAAAATTTTTAAAAAGACAGGGAATGTAGCGCAGTACTACCTGAGTTCAATCATCAGTACAGGGGAGGGAAAGAAAAGAAGAAAAGAAAACTTGCCTTTTCCAAAGCTCAGGGACCTACAGTACACATTATGAACTGCAAGAAAGACGGTTAGTTGTCAATCAACATTCATCCTGATCATCTTCCTTACCAACAAAACTACAATCATTTTCCTACTTTCCTTGCAACTAAGTCTAGGAAATGCAATAACTGAAAAAGTGGCATCCATTTTGAATTTTTAAAATTTCCTTACCTTGAAGATCCAGTGCTCTTACAAACACCAAGAAGGGGTCTTTTTTCAGCAAAATTATCACACTTTTGAGCACCTATTAGGGAGCACAGAACAGAATAAAATTGAGAAATACTGTTTTATATATCTCCTGTTACTTCATGCTTTCATAATTTTTGCTTTTAATGTATTTAGTACAGGGTCTACACGGTCTCACTACACAAATCAGATTCATAGTGATCCTCCTGTTTTTCAGCCTCCCAGGTGCTGGGATTATAGACGAACACTACTACGCCCAGTCTCAATCACTGTATCCTGTGCCCTGGAGGCAGGGCCAGCATGGCAGGCAGGGGATCAAACTCTGGTCCCTGCATCTGCCTAAGCAGGCACCTCAAACCGCTGAGCTATCTGGCCCATCTCCCTTCATAGTATTTGCAATGGGATATTGGGATATTGATCAGAAACATGTGCAAGGCCCTGGACTTAACCCCCAAGACTGCCAAAAACTACATTTTTTCATATATACAGTATTGAAAATGGAAATGACAGAAAAAATTGATATAAGGTACCCACTTCACTGAAGAAAGGAAATCTATAGTAAACATTAAAGATGTTGAACTAAGATTTAGTATCTTTTTCGACAGCACTAGAGATTGACCCCAGTGCCTTGTACGTGCTAGGCAGGTGCTCTTCCACTGAGCTAACTCTCCAGGCCTTCTTATTTGATTTGGATTCAATGTCTTGCTAAGCTGCCTAAGCTTTCCTGGAAGGAGTGACCCTTCTGCCTCAACTTCCAAAGGGGGGGGAACTTTTAGTTCGCACCAATTTTCTATCCTATCTATAGTCTCCATCAGATTAAAAAAATCCTATCCACACCTAGTTACCTAAAACTGGTATGATCTTGATATCCAAACTAGTAGCAATTCAGTCTAGGAAAAGTATGAGTCAATCTCATTTATATGCATAAATACAAAAACCCTAACAATATATTAGTAAATTAAATGAAAATATAATGTAAAAAATAAAATCTCTTAACAAAATTAGGTTTAGCTGAGTACCAGTCGCAGTTTCACAGGAGGGCTGGGATGTAGCTCAGTGGTAACACAAGGTCCTAGTTCCATTACTGGCAGGGTGGAGTTGACATTAGCATCTCTACTAATGTCATTGATTATAGCAACATTTCAGTGAATGCAAAAAGGCATTCAAATCAATTCTATGCCTAATCTTTGGAGGAAAACAAGACCATAAAGTCTACAATAAATAACACAAGAAAAGATTCAGCACATTCACCTTCTAATCAGTAGTGCTCACAAAAAATTTTGTTAAACCAGTTCTTTTCTTCCTAGACACTGTTCTGCCTAGCATTAACTCAGGATATTTTTATTGGCCTTCATTTTCCTGAAGGACTCCAATGCACACATAGAACATAGATATATAGCTTTTACCCTGTTAAGCTGTTTTATATCATTTTAATTCTTATGCTTATCCAGAGACTCAATGTTAGAGCTTATGTTTACATGTGTTCCCCCCAACCCCCCCCCAAAAAAAAAGCCTTATGTGGGCATAGGTGAGGCTTTTTCAGAGGTGGCTGGACCTGGAGTGTGTCATGTCGGAAGTAATTCATGGTGCAATGATAGGCTCAAGGGCACTAAGATTAAGAGTATGAGTGATACCCATCCTAAGTAGTCTGGGTAAGACAAATGGGACAGAAAGATGCTGTTAAGGTCCCTTGTTGCTTTAGCTGTCTTCTACCTGCCAAGAACTAATGACCTCTACCGTGTGTCACCCGGCCTTGAAGTCAACCTCTACAAACTGTACACCAAATAAACTTTTCCTTCTTGAACTCTGGGTGTCAGACATCTTGTTTCAGCAATGAAAAATGTAACTAAGACACCCTACAGTATTATAGTTACATTTTTTAGATTCTTTACATTTTAGTAATAAAAAAATTAACCTATAAAGTATTGTTATCTAGGACATAGCCAAAAATAATATATAGAAGAAAAAGCTTTTGACAAGTCTAGCACCAATTAATGATTTTTTAAAAACCTACAGAAAATTAGAATAAATGGTCTTTGTCTCAATCTAATAAAAGTCATCTATGACAAACCAACAGGAAACTAATAGTCCATCCATACTAAATGAACAAAATGACTGAATGCTGTCACTCTAAAATCAGGAACAAGACCAGGATGGCCACTACCTCCACTATACTCAACACAGTCCTGGAAACTTTAGCCAGAGCAGTTAGACAAGAGGAAGAAATAAAAGGAATGACAGGAAAGGAAGAAGTGAAATTATCACTATTTGCAGACAAGATGATACTCTACATAGAAAACCCCAAAAACTCACCTAAAAAACTGCTACACTTAACAAGCAAATTCAGCACCGTAGCTAGATACAAAGTCAACACTCAAAAATCAATAACCTTCCTATACATAAATAACAAACTCACTGTGAGAAATTAGGGAAACACCTTTCAGAATAGCATCCAAAAAAAAAAAGAAATACCTAACAATCAATCTAATGAAGGATGTAAAAGACCTCTTTATTGAAAAATACATTACTCTGAAAACTAAGATTGAAGAGGACATCAGAAAATGGAAAGATATCCCCTGTTCTTGGGTAGGAAGAACCAATATAGTGAAAATGGCCACACTTACAAAAGTGTTATACAGATTTAATACAATTCCAATTAAAATTCTAATAGCATATTGCACAAAATTAAAGAGAAAAATCCTAAAGTTTGTTTGGAACCAGAATAAACATAAAATAGCAAAAGCAACTGCAGGCAACAAAGGCAAGGTAGGGGGCATCACAATCCCTGACTTGAAATTATACTATAAAGCTATGATAAAAATAGCATGGTACTGTGGGGGGGAGTCAGATGTAAAGATCAATGGAACACACCAGAAGAGAGAGAAACAACCCTAGACATATTCAGCCACCTTATATTTGACAAAGGGGCCAAACACTTTCATTCATTGGAAGAAAGATAGCCTCTTTCAATAAATGCTGCTGGAAAAACTGGCTCTCCACATGACGAAGATTAAAATTGGACCCATATCTTTCACCACACACTAAATTAAAAAAAATTTAAGACATAGACATTACATCTTCTGGAAGATAGACTAACTAAAACTCTTGAAGACATTGGTATAGGTAGAGACTTTTTGAATACAACTCTAATTGTACAAAAACTATCACAAAGAATCAACAACTGGTATCTCATCTTACTAAAAAGCTTTTGCACAGCAAGAGAAACCACCAACAGAGTGAAGAGACAACCCACAATATGGGGAAAAGTATTTGCCAGATGTTCGTCAGACAAAGGTTTACTATTGAGAGGAACTCTCTACACTGTTGGTGAGAGTACAGATAGGTACAACCACTGTGGAAATCAGTGTGAAGATTCACCAAAAACTAGGACTAAAGTTTTGGCCCAGCTATTCCCCCTCTTCTGGTATCTTCCCAGTAGAATTAAAAACATCATACCACAGAGATATATGTGTACCCATGTTTATAGCAGCACAATTTGTAACAGACAGAACTTGGAAACAACCCAAATGCACATCAATTCGAGAAATGGATAAAAAAAAGATGTGATCTTTTTATATAATGGATTATTAGCCACAAAGAAGGATAAACTGGAGGCTTTTATAGGCAAATGGATGCAACTTGAGACCATACTCATAAGTAACATAAACCAGACGCAAATGTGTACACATCATATTGTGTCCCTAGTGTAAGAAGCTGAAAGAGTAAATGTGATCTAAAATGTACATTAGATATTGTAAAATTGGAAGAAACTTCAAACGGAAAGAGAAACTGGTTTAGAAGAGTAGGGAAAAAAGGGAAATACATATATACACACACACACACACACACAAAAGATGGTTTAAATAGTTATTTTATTAATTTCTCTCAATTCACTGAAAAGGTAGTCTACGGCCATACCACCCTTAACATGCCCAATCTTGCCAGAAAAAACAGGTTTATGCTAAGATTGGACAATTAAATGCTGTTATCTCATACCCTGAGTAAGTAATGTAAAGATAACAACATGCAATGTATTAATCATTGTTATCCTCCTATCATATTGTTTTGGAACTTCTTTGGTTTTTTGTTTCTTTCTCTTTAAAATAAAAATTAAAAATAAATAAATATCAGCAGGCACAAAAAAAAATAATCTGCAGAGAGGGCAACAGGCACTAATGAAAAAGTGAGCCACGCTCATTATATTATCCATACACCTTTTAAATAAATTTGAATTTGTCTAGTTAATAATATAACTATATTGACATACATTTAAATTATTTTTTTTACACTTTTTAAAGTTTCTAATACTAGAAGATATCATACAATGTCTTTTAAATAAATTGTAAGTCAAAGATACAGTATAAATCTTAGAACAAAAATTAAGATTAAGCAATATTCAGAAAATTAAATGTTTCAAAACAATTGAACTAAGAAAAAGTTTTCATGATAGCAAAGAAGTACTAAGAGTAAAACATAAGATAAATACTAGAATGCCAAGTAAATGACCAGCACTTCTAACCATTTAAATTAATCTAAGAACTTCTTTAAAAATCCAAAGTTTGATGAAAGACAGCAAGACATGTTGTGGTATCATGTTACTCAAAATTACAAATTTAAATACCTTGAAATCCAAAATGATCACTGCTACAATTTTAGCCTATAGATGTATTCAAGCATGAGATACACAAAAGATCATTCACTACAGCACTGTTCATAATGCCAACTGAAAAAAAATTTCAGCTGTATAACAGGCTATTTTCTACACGCCCCAAAGCAATGAAGTGTCAATGTAAACATGGAATGAGACAGAGGGAAAACTGCAAAGATAAATGCGTGCACCAGAAGGATCAGATCAGTATCTCCTACACAGAGGAGAGAAAAGGATTTGCATACACACACACACACACACACACACACACACACAAACTCCAAGGACACAATTAAAAAATCCAAGTCAGATTTAAACTGGCAGGCTGAAGACATTTGTTTCATTTAATCCCTTCTAAATAATCTAGGAAAATAATAATGTGTGATTAAACAGGGTTTAAAACGTATACA